TATTGGTTATGAGAATCTGGACTCAGCCACACCTGAGTTTGAGAATCTCTGCTATTATTATCTTTATGCTTGATTTTGGGCAAGATAGTCAACCTTTGCTTGCTTTAGCTTTCTCATCCATGAAATAGTGAGAGAATAGTGGTACTTAACACTATAGAACTGCTGTGAAGATTAAATGATATAATATATAACTTTTAGCAACATACATAACTTTGTTATATCCCCCAGTGAGATAAATGGTGAGAGGAAAGAAGTGGGTAATTATTCAGCAATTGCTATGTTATATGACTACTTCTTTTCTCATGATAGCTCATTTCATCCTTTCTATTGTCTCATAAAATATGTATTGTCCCATTTTATAAATGGGGAAATTGAAGTGTCCAATATACTTTGTTTTGCCCTTCCTCTACAAGAGCCCCTAACATCAGGCCGCTCTCTTGTGAAATGAGGCAATGATTCATATTCTAACTTCCTGCTATGTTGGGAGGCTCCAGTTAACTGCATCACCAAGAAGAGCATGGTGCCCTGGAACCACCTTCTGGAACATAAATATCTCTACACTGCTTCCTGCTAGGAGTGATAATGGCACTGCATCTCCCTGCCAGTTCTCCCCAGGAAAGTTTGTCATCAGCCTATGAGGGGCCAAAGGTATAATGCAAGAATCAAATAGCCTTTTCTGGGTTCTCTGACCTTCAGCATCTCTTGCCCTGCAGTGAGGCCTGGCTCTCCTTGCTCTGAACAGGGGAACCCTGCAGGAGTTAAGACTTGGACTTAGCAGCATTCAGAATTCAGCAGGAATAAACTCAACTCAGACCTGGGAAAGAGATTCACAGATGTCTACAAAGACTTTATCCCTAAAGCAGAGTTTTGTCAGATATGAAAGGGTGTTTTGGAGATGTGAGTGATGGTGCATCTAGGTGCCACATCTCCTAGACATTTTGACTTCCTGAGACTTTCTTTACAAACTAAGCTTTCCTTTCAAAAATGAAGGAGGGGAATAAACCAAACTAGTTCAGTCTTCTGAGGAGCCATGCAGTACCAGCAAAGGCTGTGACTGCTATGAGCAGAGACTACAGAGATGCAGACCCCTCCATATGTGTGGAATTGTGTAGTGTTTGTCCTGTGGCTGCCATATTTCACATGGTGTGGTGTCCATGGGCATGGTATCCTTAGAGTTCATCAATGTTGTTGTATACTGCTGAATGAATTACCTTCTTTTTTAAGGCTGAGTGATGTCTCACTGTTTGTATATACCCCATTGTTTTTGTCTGTTCATCATTGATGGATGGATGGGGTGTTTCTGTATCTTGGCTGTTGTGATATGAGGTATCCAAAATAGTCAAATTCAAAGAAGCAAGGGCTTCCCTGGTGGCTCAGATGGTAAAGAATCCACCTGTAATGCATGAGACTCAGGTTTGAGCCCTAAATTGAGATGATCCCCTGGAGAAGAGAATGGCTACCCCCTTAGTATTCTTGCCTGGAGAATTCCATGGACAGAGGAACAAGGTGGGCTTCAATCCATGGGATCACAAAGAGTCAGACACAAGTAGTGACTGACACTTTCATGGAAGCAAAGTATATAGTGGTAGTTTCCAGGGGCTAGTGGGAGGGGGAAATGGGGAGGTATTAGTCAAATGTACTAAGTTTCAGTTACGCAAGATGAGTAAGTTTATTATACAACAGTGTACCTACAGATAAGATGGTAGGTCTCATGGTAAGTGTTCCTTCTAGGATTAAAAGAAAAAGAATACCCCCCCTTTTTTTGGCAGATGAAAGGTATCTAGTCAGAGAGGATAAATAATCCAAGTTTTGCTTTAGAAGGACAACTTTGTTGTTGTTACAGAGAACAAGTAGAAGAAGAAGAACTGTAGTCAAGAGAAGTTAGGAAGTCATTTTTCTGGTCCTGGTGAAAGATAATGAAAGTGTAGGGGAGGAAAAGATTTTCCTGGGCCCTCTTAGGGGGTCCCTGACTGGGTCTGAAAATTAAACTGAAAAAATAGATTAATAGGAGAAAAGCATGAATATTAACTTAATGTAAGTTTTATGTTACACACATCCTTCAGAAGGAAATGAAGACCCAAGGAAACAGTTAAATCTGCATATTTTTATGCTAGGCTTGATGAAAAGTGGACAGTTGTAGGAGAATATGATAGAAAGTATGAGATACATGTGGTAAACTGGGAGAAATTTAGAAAATCCTGTTAGAATTCTTCTATGTGTCCCTTTGTCTTTAGAGATAAAGATGCTCCTTTCCCCCAGGTACGAGAGGGCACCTCTCCATCAGGGTTTTATGAGCTGTTTCAGGAGAGGTGGGCAAGGGGAATGTCAGTGACCTTCCTGCTTCTGCTGTTTCCACAAACTCCTTCAGCTTAAGATATTTGGTATACCAAGGTGCCATATTTTGGGGGTAGCATGTTCTCAATCTCATCAAAGCCCCACAGTAAGGGGGATTAGAGACAACTGGGCAAATCTGACATTTCAGAGATAAAAATCAACTGAATTCTACTGGACGTGATTTTCTTAGGGATCAGAAGAGAAGGCTAAGGAATCTCCCTTGGCTCTTTTGAGTTTGAAGAACATTTGGAATATCTAGATTTAGATGCTTAGTAGACAGCTGGAGCTGTGGGCCTGGAGGTCAGGAAGAAAGTCTTGAATGGAGCCAGCGGTTTTACAAATAAAGGATATTAGAAATAATAGTTGAGTTCAACCTGGGAAGGTCAAATTGAAAAGAAAAAGACTAACGAGCAGAGTCCCAAGGGAAACCAACATTTAGGGGTAGTTGGAAGAATGTACACATTAATTAATGTACACATTTTCACAATGTTAGGATTGTGAAACAGGAGCAAAGTTAAGGGAATTTCGGGTTTCTCAGGTGGCTCAGTCGTAAAGAATCTTCCTGCCAATGCAGGAGATACAGGAGACACTGGTTCGATCCCTGGGTCAGGAAGATCCCGTGGAGAAGGAAATGGCAACTCATTCCAGTATTCTTGCCTGGAGAATCTCATGGACAGAGGAGCCTGGTGGGCTACAGTCCATGGGGTCACAAAGGGTTGGACACGACTGAGCAACTAAGTACATAGAGGTAGCCTCTGGCAACATCTGATATTTCAAAGACATCAGACAAAACATGAGCTTGGAAAAGAAGTCATCAGGTTAAATAGGCCATTTTTAACCCAAGAGAAAGCACTTTCTGTAATGTGGTAAGATAGAATATTCTAGATTGAAATGAGGATGTGGGTGAAGACAGAGACTCTTAGGAAGAAATAGACTTCTTTGACAGACAGGACTAAGATTTATGGCTGTCCTAGAGCAAGGAAATTTTACAGAAAACAGAAGCTCAGGACCAAATACAGCAGATCTAGAAACATTTTCTCCTGTTATTAGTCTAGTATAATTTGTGCATGTACATATGCTGAAATGTATAAATCCCTTCAGTTTTACCTGACTCATATTTTTTTCTCCTGTATAATTGGATTTTGTTAAGGTCTTTCCATACCTAGGAGTTTTGTTTTATTTTGCTTTTGGGGCATAAAATTCAATTCAGCAGTGTTGGAATTACATGGGTAGTCATTTCAAGCATGTGCTCACTCACAAAGCACTTCACACTAGCTGTACTTCACTGTTCGAAAAACTGCACCTAGCCATTGCTTAAAGAAGCATTTTTGTAAAGTTTTAAATGTAATCAAGAGTGATGTTATGCTGTTTTAAATTAAATTTTTTTTCTTTTTACATTTTGGCTTTGCATTACACTTTTAATGATACTATATTATTAAACATGAGATGGAAAAATGTGTTTCTATAAAGCAATGTCCCCTCCCAAACCCACCCCTTTCCTTCCCAGTTGAAGTAAGCATCATTGTTCTGACTTTTGTATAGTCTCTTCCTTGCTTTTTAAAATTGTTTTATCACTTGGGTGTACATCCCTAAATATTATAGTTTATTTTACTTTTTAAAAAATTCATGTTTTAAAATATTTTCCTATTCTCTGTTTTCCTAAAAACTAGTAATTGGATTGAGAGACTTAAGTTTTAGGGCTCCCTTCCACTTTACTTTTTTTTTTGGACACACTTAATACTTAGGTAATGGGGTGTTCCTCTTCAGGAGACACACAGTTCTGTTTTTGAGATGATTTCAGCAATTGATGCAAAATGCCTGTTCATATGATTTCTGCATTTATTTGTTGGAATTCTATAAAGAGAAAGTTATCCTTCTTTATTATTTGATTACCAGTGGTACAATTATTATAGAAAGAGCAGTGTGCCTACTTGATTTTTTTTTTATTTACCACTGTTCAAAATTTTAATAAGTTGGCTCTACATATCTTCCTAAAGTTTGATATATATATATATTGATATTTACATATTCCTATTTATATATAGATATATCACCTAATGGCTTTGTACTGGTATTTCAAATTCAGTGAAAATTCAGAACTGCAGGATGTTTATTTAAATTCTTCTGTCTCACAACTGCATCTTTATCCCACCCCTACAAGTTCTTAAGGATTTAAGAAAACTGGGAATGAGAGAGTTAGTATATCACACAAAATATATTCACAAGACATTCTTGTAGTAACTACCAATGACATGATTAGTAAAAGGAGTTAAAACAGTCACATCTTTCTGTCCCCACTAGTTTTTGCTTTTACAGTTGTTCTGTTTCTACCCTGTCAAGAGCATATGGCACTTCTTTAAATAGAACTCTTCCCCCTATATCCTTGTCAGCTAGCAAGAGTTTGAGTAGATTAAGATCATAGAGTTAGGCTTTTGTGATTCCATTACTGTTGCAACAAACCTTTTTTTTTCAGCTATGCCTATGAAAGAAAATAATAAAGGGAACCAAATCTGTGTTGACAGAGGAATAATGCTTCAAAGGAATGTTACATTAGGTAACTGTAGATATAGCACTATTGTTGATTATTTAAACTTTTTATATGTTGAATTTTTCCTAAATGTAACTTTTACATCTTTTTTTTGTTTGTTTTATTTTGTGGCTAGTAGAACACTCCAGTATGCCAGTAGAAAAAAATATCACTTTAGAAAGACCTTCTAATGTAGAACTCACATGCCAATTCACAACATCTGGAGATTTGAATTCAGTAAATGTGACTTGGAAAAAAGGTGATAAATTACTTGAAGATAATTATCTCGTCAATGCAATGGGAAGTATCCTGTATACCCAATATAGGTGAGTATACAAAATTTTAACCTGTATGGCTAGATGAAGTCAGTTAAATTCTAGATACTTTTGCTGACTGAGCATTCTTTCCTTTGCTGTCACTTGAATGTTATTCTAATACTCTAATTTGCACATTTACAGAATTGTTTCTTTTTAAAAATTTTGATTAATGGCTGTCTTTTCGTTTTCATTAAGAAGCATTTTTGAGAACTAAGCCTGTATTAATAACATAAATTATCATGAGACAAGTGCTCAGGGCTGGTGCCCTGGGAAGACCCAGAGGGATGGGGTGGAGAGGGAGGCGGGAGGGGGGATGGGGATGGGGAACACATGTAAATCCATGGCTGATTCAGGTCAATGTATGGCAAAAACCACTACAATATTGTCAAGTAATTAGCCTCCAACTAATAAAAATAAATGGAAAAACAAAACAAAACAAACAAACAAAAAAATAATAACATAAATTATCTCTAGGGTCGCCGTCATTGACAGCAAACAGATGGGAAGCTATTCTTGTTTCTTTGGCGAGAAAAAGCAACACAGGGGCACGTTTAATTTGAAAGGTCAGTACTAATCACTGATAGAGTAACAACTTTAATCTAGCGTCATATTCATAGAATTCTGAATCCTCAAATTTTAAAATCATTATTACAACACTAAGAAAGTCATCATATGCTTTCTGTGGAATTATACGTGGTGATGTTGAAAATGGAGTTTCCCAGTGCCTTCCCAGTTGAAAATACAGGTTTTAGTTTGAAAGACCAGGCTGCCAGGTTATTTATACATTTCTTGTAGCAGTCTTTTGCATTTATTTATTTATTTAGCTCTCTAAACTCAGTGCTTTCATAATATTCTTCTGGGTGTCTGAGTTACTGTACTCCTAACCTGTGAGATTATGCTTTTGGTGTTCTGTATCAGTGGCTCCAGGACTTGAGATTTTAGGGACCTATAAAATTTCAAAATAATAAGAAAGAAAGAAAGTGAAGTCGCTCAGTTGTGTCTGACTCTTTGCAACCCCATGGACTGCAGCCTACCAGGTTCCTCCATCCATGGGATTTTCCAGGCAAGAATACTAGAGTGGGTTGCCATTTCCTTGTCCAGGAGATTTTCCTGACCCAGGGATTGAACCCGGGTCTCCTGCATTGTAGGCAGACGCTTTACTGCCTGAACCACCAGGGAAGCTCTAAAATAATAATAATAATAATAATAATAATAATAATAATAATAATGGGATGCACAAAGGTTGCCTGCTTTTGCTTTAATCAAATAAGGTCAAACCCTAGAATGTAATCCACAGCTCTCCCTTCATGAGAAAAAAAAAACAAGTCAAAGTATTTTACTCTTCCCATCATTAAACCAAAACTTTAAAGGTCTTAATCTCATAATATAGACTAGTTGTTCAAATTGGGTAATTATCTTCACAAAAAAATCATATTTTATGATATTAACAGCTTAGTGAATGTCACTGTCTCTGATGGTAATTGGGAAATGCAGTCTGTTGCCATGTTTTGGGCTTTGTTTCATGTTAATTTCCCAGGGCACACGAGAAATTGTTTTTTTATGTTTCCTAAAGATTGTGAAATCTGACTAGCTGCTCTGACAAAATATGGATACTGTCTCCAGAGTCCCATCAATAGCAGGATGGCCTGCTCCATCATTGCCATGATTTCAGATCGTTCCCTCATTCATGCCTCCCTGTAGTCCCTCTGCACATAGACTCATTTCCTTCAGGTGGTTTTGTGTATGTTCCTACTGAATAAATATAATAAATCCTGTATTTATGCACTTTGGTCTTTGCAAAGGCTGAATCTGTTATCATCTTTTGATTATTTTGATCATGGATGTTCTCTTTTAACCATCTTTCCTCCATTTGCCTAATTTAACCTAGTGAATGTTAGATATGTCATATAAATTTCCTTCCCTTATTTCTTTTCTTCTATTCCCTTTTCCTTTCTTCCCCTAGTCTTTTTCTCTGCCCCCTGCAACCATTCTAATGAGCTAACAGATACTAAACATGTGGACACACACACAACCCTAGTAAACAATTTATTGTGTCTCCTTTAAATGCATAAAGAAAGGCTAGAGGTCTTGAGGAAATGCCTATCAAATCTTGAGGCTCAAAGTGCCTCCAGGCGATTCAACTTTAAAAATAGCTTTTTCTCTTCTTCTAAATAGGACTGTTTTCTAGAAGTATGTTCTGTCATACCTGTTCAAAGTTTAAATATTAAATTCGTTTTTTCTTATTAGAACTCATAATAAATTACTTACATTGCTACTTGCAACTAATCATTCTGGCCTCTAATGTGAAGAGAAGCATTTTGATTTTCAAGGTACCATGTTTTGGGGACTTCCCTGGTGCCTCAGATAGTAAAGAATATGCCTGCAATACAGAAGACCCTGGTTTGATCCCTGGGTTGGGAAGATCCCTTGGAGAAGAGAATGGCTACCCACTCCAGTACTCTTGCCTGGAGAATTCCACGCACAGAGGAGCCTGGTAGGCTACAGTCCATGGGGTAGCAAAGAGTCAGACACGACTGAGTGACTAACACTTTAACACTAATAAATTCAATGCCAGTTTTGAAGAAGGCCTCTTGATTTGTATCTATTTTGAGTAACTAGGCTGATGCTGGCTTTTGTTAGAAGCACTTACACAGGTCTAGGTTTGAAATCAAGTGCTTGAGGGATACAAAGAGCCACTGAATATTTACTTTTTTGCTTTTGATAGTTTTCTTGAAGCAGTTTATTTTCAGTTCATTAGTTTTAAATGCCCACTTAACAGTGTAACTTTCAAGTGTGTCCTATATCTTAAAGATTTTATATAGTTAATAATTTGGGCCCTTCCAGATTCTTGTTGGTAAAATAATTCAGTTTATTTAAGGTGACTATTACTTAGAGGAATTACTTCATTTGAGTATAATTTAATGGCATTTGTAGAATAATTCATATTATAGTTGTTCAGATCTTGTAAGACTTCTAGACTAGTGTATATTTTTACAAATATCCTGTATTACTGTTTTTCCATGTGGATTGCTTATGAGTTTTCCTAAGGAAGGTTATCTTTTCAATTGAGTGTAGATGAAAAGCCCATTTTATCCTCTATTTGAGCCTATTTTATTCTCTAATTGACGCCCCCCCCCAAATTCTGCTATTGACTACATGAGTCAACTAGATTGCATGCGCCTGAGACCTCCAAACAGTTTATCAGCAAAGTCCCTCTTTCTCCTTTTATGGGAATTGGTTGATTTATTACTGTTGTTTTTCAGTCATTAAGTTTGTGTCCAACTCTTTGTGACCCCACAGACTGCAGCACACCAGGCTCCTTTGTCCTTCACTGTCTCCTGGAGTTTGGTCAAATTCATGTACATTGAGTTGGTGATGCCATCTCACCATCTCATCCTCTGCTGCTTCCTTCTCCTTTAGCCTTCAGTCTTTCTAAGCATCAGGGTCTTTTCCAATTAAAATTAGTAATTCCTGCTAAGGCCCACTTAACTTCAGACTCCAGGATGTCAGGCTCTAGGTGAGTGACTATACCATCCTGGTTATCTGGGTCATTAAGACCTTATCTGTACAGTTCTTTTTTGTATTCTTGCCACCTGTTCTTAATCTCTTTTGCTTCTGTTAGGTTCTTACTGTTTCTGTCCTTTATCACGCCCATCCTTGCATGAAATGTTCCCTTGAGGTCTCCGATGCTCTTCAAGAGAGATTGCCCATCTTTCCCATTCTATTGTTTTCCTCTGTTTCTTTGCATTGTTCATTTAAGAAGGCCTTCTTATTTTTCCTTGCTGTTCTTTGGAACTCTGCATTCAGATGGATGTATCTTTCACTTTTCTCCTTTGCCTTTCATTTCTCCTCTTTCCTCAGCTATTTGTCAGGCCTCCTCAGACAGCCATTTTGCCTTTTTGCTTTTCTTTTTCTTTGGGATGGTTTTGGTCACTGCTTCTAGTACAGTGTTACAAACCTCCATCCATAGTTCTTCAGGCTCTCTGTCTACCAGACTGAATCCCTTGAACCTACTTACCACCTCCACTGTATAGTCATAGGGGTTTGATTTAGCTCATCCCTGAATGGCATAGTGGTTTTCCCTACTTTCTTCAATTTAAGCCTGAATTTTGCAAGAAGGAGCTCATGATCTGAGCCACAGTCAGCTCCAGGTCTTGTTTTTACTAACTCTATAGAGCTTCTTCATCTTTGACTGTACTACAAGATTATAAAAAAACCTGAACATCCCTGATTAGTATGTTGTGGAAAAAAACCTGCTGACTGTGTGTGTTTGTCTGTTGGTGACAGTACAAGGGAAAGCAAAGGTCACACCTGAAGCTTGCAAAGGCTAATATGTCAGTGATTACCTTTCACCAAGAAAGAGCAGTGATGGCCTACCATGTTTTTCAGTAGAAGGTGAAATATTCTAAAGTGGATACTGAAAATTCCTATAATAACAATCAGTGTTAAAATCTCTTAGTACAAAGATGCAGAAACTTTGTTGGTAAAGAATAAGTAATAGGACAAAGAACTTCTTAGAAGACATGGTGAGATTTTGATCACACCAAGTGCTATGAAACCTCGCTTCTCCCAGCCATCTGTCCTCACCTGGGAGCATCCAGCGGGCCAAAGTAGGGAAGAACAGGACAATAGAAACAGTTGGAACTTCAGCTTCAAAGTGTGTTGATAGAAGTGTATAGTGCATTAATCGAACGCTAGTTAGCTGGCTTTGACTACATGGAAGAGTCTTTTTCTCATTCAATAACACCTAAACATCCTTGAGCCAAAAGTGACACAGGCTGATATTTTCTAGTCCACAAATATGCAAATAGAAATCTCTAAGCTTACAACTCCATAGGGCTTTCATTGCCACTGAGTAGTTCCTAGACCTTACCTTCCCTGACATGTCTGAATCAGCAAATTTACTATCTTAAAACTTGAATTCTTTCAACCCAAAGAGTGTGTGTCCTACTTTATCCAGAGTTCCATTAAGTCAACAGGACACATTAGAATGCTCTAACACTGTCCTTCTATTCATAAATATTTCTAAACATAAGCAGAAACCCAGAACCAAGTGTTACCTCTGGAGAAGTTTGAATAAATTCGTGTTCCCTGAGTATAGTGCCTTTTCCAATTTGGATGCACATCACTCTTCTCAGCCAAAGAAAGCATACCAGAGCAGTGATTAATGTCATTTGGCTTTTAGTTTAGGGTATCGTCAAGGAAACAGAAGAGATGCAAAGAATACAAAATGTGAGTTTTGTTTCCCTGTGGTATCCCTCAGTCACTGTCAGTTATCTGCAGTTAACATTTAACTGGGATGCTTTCATAGCATACCCATGTGTTCCTCACCCAAACCTCATAAAATATGCAGGATTTTCTTGAAAAGCACCCTTCAGCTCCCAGTTGTGGCTCCCAAGACTGTGGCTCTTAGAGGCTTACTGCAGACCAATGTATATTCTGCCGTCTCAAATGTTACCTGTCTTCCACTTTTGATTCTTAGCTTGTGGGTGGATTTCAATATTTTGATCATATTTCAACACACATTCCCCTGCTGAAGCATAGCCTGATTAATTTCCAAAAA